TGTGCTTCCTATGTGCTCCCTTACATATACTATAAATGCACGATTTCATCATGAAACACACCACGTCTTTTAGTACCCTTGAAATTGTATGTTCCTCCGTATATCTAATAGTCAACCTTCTTCTGTGGGTATTTCCATGTACACTGTTCTATTTCTGAGAAAAAGCCGCGTGTAGCCAGAATGACAAATGTGGAGCGATTTGGACAGTAATCATCAACCGGACATGACATGAAATTAACCTGTCTCAAATTAAATGCTTGAAGCTTCTTTGACTTTTACAATTGACCTACTTAGATGTACGTACATATGCGGGCGGGGAATGAGCTTTCGTTTCCGTTACATTTTTCGTTTACATTTTCCGGTACATTGATAAAGCAGTATTGTACATTATGGTCCCCATTGGAGAACCAACGGTTTGGGCAGAATCCAACACCACGTTCATGTACGTCCACTTAACAGTGTTTTCCAGCAATATTTCCACATACAAGAAGACGTCCATGACACAGTAAGAGTTATATGTGGCAGGTATGTAGCACTGCATACACTATGTAGTTGTACATGTACATGATGCCAGGACTTATACACCAAATTCTAAACATGTACAGTACATGATAAAATCGATTTTCCGTCCATTCTCCTAACGGGATTTAAATTTTTATTTCGTTTCAGACTCTCATCAAAGATATTTGATCATAATTTGTTGACCACCTGACGATCCGCATGAAAAGCGGTTTAAGATGGCCGAATGGGGTAATCTATCTGTAGATATGTATCGAGTATAAATAAAGGCACAAACAATCATGACATTCCTCATATTTATGGGTTCACCACACCACGAAGTGGTGGTGAACCCATATTGCTTTTTCTGATGTTTCTTCTCCTTCTCCTTCTTCTTCTTCTTCTTCTTCTCCTGCCATTTTTCAAATGGATTCAGCTTCTTCATTTTAGGGCCTAAGGTCCTGAAATTTGGTATGGAGGTACAGTGGGCAAATACCCTCAGGCGTTTTTTAAATTTTTGTGATACAAGCTTTTACAATCGTTTTATTTGCTTTTTTAGCGGTCCCCATAGGAAAGTACTGTGGGGGCGTACGCGCGTGACGTAATAAGAAAGGAATTCGGCGGTATGCCCATATATGGGCATGCAAGCATGAACCTGACGCAGACCAATCTATTCTTCTTGCTGATTGGCTGTTGGATTTGATTGGATTAACTCAATTAACACCTGTTCAAAGCCATTC